ATGAACTCAGTACCTGTCATGATCGATATGGAAGTGCATCTGAGGAAGTGGTCATCTGCCATGATTATGATATGAATGGATGATATATGCCTCAAAGATATGCCCATGATGAAGAGGTAAGCAACTACGAGAATGGTGGAAAATATGTGCGTTGAAAAAATACACTTGATGAAGAGGTCAACAGCTCTAAACTTGGTGGAAGATATGTGCCTCGAAGAAATCTATTTGATGAAAAAGTCAGCAGTTACGAAATTGGTGGAGGATATGTGTCTCGAAGAAATGCATCTGATGAGAAGGTCAGCAGTTACGAAATTGGTGGAAGATATGCGCCTCGAAGAAATGTATATGATGACGAGGTCAACAACTATGAACATAGGAGTAGACATGATCTATATGGAAGTGCATATGAGGAAGTGGTCATCTGTCATGATTGTGATATGAATCGAAGATATATGCCTCAAAGAAATACCCATGATGAAGAGGTATGCAATTACGAGAATGATGGAAAATATGAGCGTCGAAGAAATACACTTAATGAAGAGGTCAACAGCTCTGAACTTGATGGAAGATACGTGCCTCGAAGAAATCCATTTGATAAAAAGGTCCGCAATTACGAAATTAGTGGAGGATATGCCCCTCGAAGAAATGCATCTGATGGACAACAGTTACGAAATTGGTGGAAGATATGTGCCTCGAAGAAATGTATCTGACGATGAGGTCAACAACTATGAACATAGGAGCACACATGATCTAAACATTATACCAGAACACCGCCTTGGAAGGTTCAACAGAATTTACGGGATTAGCAGTCCGCTCTCTGACAATGTATACCGCATTATTGGGTTGCTCGACGCCACGCTATGATTACAACAAATCGTTCGTTTCTTGTGGCATATGTACTTCAACAGGTGGGCAAAAGTCAATTGTTTGCAGACATTAGAATTCTATATTTAACCAAATTAATTTTTGTTTCCTTGTTGCAGGCAATAAGTTATGGCCCGTTTAGTTCGCTGATTCTAGTTTTTAATTTGAGTTGAGATGTGACTTTATGTGAGAGCTTTTTACTGTACTAAAAAGTTAGATGTAATTATTTTTAAGAGCTTTTTGATGTAGTAAAATTTAAATTTTAAACTCGAATTGATAAAAAGAACGGGGTCCGGGTGGAGGGGAGAGAAAACAGTAGGGAGAGGACAAATTGAAAGTGTTTGAAACTATTTCATATCCTAAAGAAATTTCTTTCTGATTTCACTCTGTGACTGAAGCATTACGCGTTTATAGTTTAATGTGTTGCCGCATTGCTGGATGTATCATACAATTAGCACCATTTAAGTGCAACATTGAGTATCTCTGTACGTCCATAAATAGCCAGTTAGCAAGTAGCAAATGTTGTCTGTTTTAGTTAAATTTCTCTTTGACAGATAGTTACTTGATGTGCTTAAATTACGTATACAACAAAACAATATCAGCACTAACTTGTAAACCCACCTGCTTACTTTTAAGCTCTTCCCATGGAAGGCATAATATAATATTCTTTTTGGCTGCATTCAACCACTCATTTGGTATAACAAACCAGACACTGTGCAAAACCAAGTCATCTATTCTTTAAGCATCTCCAATACAATACTATAATTAATGTGTCAACTATAAATTTAGCATTTGAATGCAAAACACACTCTCCAATGCAATACTATTTATTGTGTTAAATTTTTCATATGCTACATTTTGTGGCAAATTTTTCACCAAGTATAGCATAAAGAAAATTTGACACTTAATTACTATTAATTAAAATGTTACTTTTTCCATGTAATCAATTTAACTTTTATATTTTCTAATTATTTTAAAAATAAAAATTTACTTTTACAACTTTCAAAACTTAAAAATTATAGAAAAAAATAGATTTAACATTTCAAATAGTATTATACATTGGAACAAAAATAAAAATAACATACTATATCCTAATTTTATGCTAAATATACAATTAACATTAACATTTACATTAGAGATAGTCTTAATACCTAAAAGAGTTAAGAATTTGACTCTTAAGGAGGTCATTTGTTAGCCTCTATGTAGTCTACATGTTGCCCTCATCTTTTTTTCTTTCTTTTTTTCTTTTTTATTTTTTTAACTTTCTGTCTTTTTTTTCATTTTTAGACATTTTTTTATTTTCCTTCTCTCTTTTTTTTTTCCTATTGCTTTTTTTTTGTTTTTTCTCTCAATATTCTTTGACAACTTTTTTTCTTTTTGTTTGCAATATCCTCCTTTAAAATACTTTTTTTTTCTCACTTCCTTGTAATTAAAATAATTCTTTCAATTTCAAATATATCCGTACTAAAGTTTTTTTTTTTTCTTTTTGTTAAAGATTCCTATACAACTTTTATTCTTTCCAATGAGCTTTGAAATACTTTTTTTTTTCATCTTGCTCAAATTATACTAATTCACCCATACAGTGCACACACACATATTTTACTAAAATACATGTTTTGATTTGAAAGTACGTTTCAGTTCATTTGGTTTTTTACTTATTTTTATATATTTTTTGTTGTAGATAAGTCTTGTTAAACTTTCTAATCTACTCTTATGAAAATAATTTTTTTCAAACGTGTGACTACTTAAATATCATTTTTCTTATATATTTTATATGATACTTTAAATTAGCTTTTTCTCAAAAGTAATCCTCATAATTTTTTTTTTCTAATTGTCCAACTAAAGTATTTCTTCTCAAATATCTTCCTACTTACACATATTTTTCTTTTTTCCTTTTTTAAAATACGTATTGTTATTTATCTCATATTTTACTTTAAATTAATTTTTGTTGGCCTTCTCTTTTTTTTTTCTCTATTTTCCATTCTCTTTTTTCATTTTTAGACTTTTTATGTATCTAACAATACATAAAAGAGTTAAAACTCTTTTCTATGTGTCAGCCCATTCACTTTTTTTTTCTTTTTTTTTTTTACTTTTTATCTTTACTTTTTTGTAAATTTTTCTTTTACATTTTAATTTTTTTGTGTATGTTCCCAGCTTTGCTTTTAGCTTTTATGAGAGTAATTTTTTTCACATGTGTTCCTATTTTATTTTTTATTGGTTAAAATAATTTTCTTCAAATATGTTCTTATTTAATTTTTCTTTTTTATCAATTGTGACTTTACATATATTCCTTTTTAAAATAAATTTAAAAATTCTTAAATAATTGTATAAATAAATTTCTCATTATTTGATAAATAATAAACTCTTTAACTTTCTCCATGACACTACTTGGGGAGCAAGTTACAAAACCAGTAAAACTACCATAGTACAAACGAATCAAAGAGGCATTGTTAATGGAGATGTTCAGCGAAAAAAGTTGAGAAATTACTGACAATCCATCAAAATCGTGACCAAAAAAGGGGAAAAAAAAAGCTCAATATGGTAATTCAATAACCATATTAACTCTCTTTGTCGTCGTTTTTTTTTTTTCACACTTGTGTTTCTCATGCGTTTTTCAGACTCAAATCACCTGTCTAATTTTTAACATTTAAATGAGTAGGAAAAAATTAATTAAAAATATATTCTAATTTTTTAAATTATTAGAGAGTTTGTTTGAGATAGCTATCAAAAGCTACTTTTGGCTTTCTAGTTCCAAAAATTGCTTGTGGAAATGTTTGGATAAACTCATATAAGTATTTTTGTTATTTAGAATAACTTCCGGTCAAAACCACAAAATAAAACTTACAAAAAAAAAAACACTTCTAAATAAAATCTTAAAACTTATATGAGAATATTATTAAGGGAGATTTTCCGATACGCTTAGTGTATCGATAGGTTAAGTGTTGGATCTGCATACTTTTTGACTTTGACGTGATTTTATGTAGATCTAACGGTTAGAAAATCTGACCTACCGGTATGTTATCATACTAGAGAATGTCTCATTTATTAAAGCGTTATAAACTTAATTCCAACACTTATATTGCCTATTATAAACTTAAAAATGGTTTTGACCCTTTAAACTCTTTTATTCCAAACACTTGCTGAAAAGTCACAGTTTTTACTTAGTGAGAAAGAGGAAAATATGCCAATACTTGAGATGAATTAAAATTAATAGGCCAATAGTTTACATAAGTTAATAAATAGGCTAAATTACTGTTTTCGTCCATAACTTGTCTGATTATTAACCATAACTTGACAAATTATTGTCCATAATTGTCCATAACTTGTCTGGTTATGAACCATAACTTAACAAGTTTATCCATAACTTATCTGGTTATGAACCATAACTTGACAAGTTATGGCCTATTAATTTCTATAACTAAAAATTGGCCTATATACTTTCTTAAACTTTTCATATTAGCCTATTTTATACTATTTTCCTTTTACTTATCTTCTTGAATTGGCTAGAAGCAAAACAAAAGATCTACTAAACATGCCTTGATTAAATACCATTCTAAACATCAAAATTAAATAGGTGATTTGAATCCACGTTTTTCTGGCTCCATCTCAATTGGACCGTGCTTTAATGATGCTCAAAAGCAAACAATCCTGGAGAATTTTCAAAATGTCCTCAATAAATTGACACTATTTTTTGTTGTTGCTAAATTTATCTTATCTAACTAATAACATGTAGATTATCTTTTCATGAACTGTAAGTTATATTTTTATAACCTGTCAGATATTTTTCATAATCTCTAAGTTATTTTTACATATATTGTAGGTTATTTTTTATAGTGACATCAAAATTTATGTAATAGTATAAATAATAGAGTTAAAAAAATAATGGTTAAATTCAAAATTTTCTCAACAGTTCTCCTTTATTGGGCTTTTATAGGCTAATTGGGCCTAGTCTTTAGGCTATGTTTTTGTATCTAGTTATTTTTTATAATGACATTAAAATTTATATAGTGGTATAAATAATAGAATTAAAAAAATAAAAAATAAAACAATAAACTTTGAAATTTCTCAACAATCCTCCCTGATTGGGCTTTTATAGGCTAACTGGGTCTAGTCTCATGAATGTCCCAGTACAATAAGTGCCTCACTGGCCCCTTTCTTCTCCTCCGTCTTCCTTCCATTTCTATCGTCTCTCTCTCTCGAGTCAATTATTGCAAGCGCAGGCAGTAGTTGTGGCACCACCGAGTCCGAGAGAGAGAAAGAGAAAGAGAAACATCTGTGACAAAAAAAGTCTCCGACCGGTGGTGACATTATCGAAACTACAAAGATGCCACAGCTCACGAAGCTCTATACCATGGCGGAAGCCTCCGACCACAACACCAAGGACGACTGCTGGGTCGTCATCGACGGCAAGGTACCTTTTCTCCCAAAAAAAAAAGGGGGGTTTTTTCCTTCGATTTGTTAATGGGTTTTTTATTATTAATATTTTAGATTCAGTTTTCTGGATCTATTTTACCTAAGTATTATAGTTTTTAGGATGGTATGGACGTTGTTCAGGCTTTGGATTTTTATTTTTATCTCTTGTGAGATTCAATAATTCTGTTGGAGATCGTAATTGCCGATGTTATATAAGGACACAGGAATTGGGATAAGCTTAATTCTCAGACAATGTTGTGACGTCGAAATTTGTTTAGTTTGGATTTCTTGTCTCACCCTTTTGGCTTGAAAAGAAGAATATGCCCTTGATATAGTCATTGCCAATGTATAAGTGTGTTTTTTATAGGATGCCTAATTACATATTAGGAAGTTAAATCTGTGCCCTGTTTTTGGCAGATGGATATTGAGTGGTATCTCAAGCGGGTCTATGATGGTAATTTGACTTTGTAATTTAGTTTACGTGAAGATGAGTTTGGAATGAGTTAGATTTTGGATTTTGGGGATGGTGGAGAAGAAGAGGTCTAGTCTAGGCTTTTGTGGAGTTAAGGAGTAAGGGTAGAGGTTAAATGAAGTGCTGATCTTGAACCAAAAAAAAAAAACACTAAAATTTTTCTGGTATTGCTTTGGGTGACGTGGATGATTTTGGGGTTCAGGTTTTTCAATTCTCGGTGATTGTTTCGTAAGTTTTTTGCTGTGGAGTGTTTCAGATATGATCATATCCGGATGAACAGTATAGAATTATCTATTGCTGTTGTCATTATGTTTTGTTAGTGGTTTGCATGATGAGATGGTTATGAGTCTTCTGATTTCTTAAGAGATCAAGTTATAGAAAAAAAGAAAAGTATAATCTTAATACTGCAATGAAACAGTGACTTTTAATCTATTCGTTTTCTGTGATTGTGGCTTATCAGAATAGTGAATCATTCATTTTGATGCCATTTATTCCTTTGGATCTAAACACATTGTCTTTTGTCGATCTTAGGTGTACGATGTGTCATCATACTTGGACGATCACCCCGGCGGAGATGATGTAGTGCTTGCTGCAACTGGTATATTTCTCATGCTTCCAAGTTAAATAATTTAAATTTTCCGTTAATCTTTAGGTGTGTTTCCAGAGGTATTTAACTCACATTATCATTGGCCAAAAAAGAAATGTAGATACAAGTACTAGTACAAATTGTTGACCTGAACTAACCGTGTTCTTTTGATTCCACTGCAGGGAGGGATGCCACTGAAGATTTTGAAGATGCTGGGCATAGCAAAAGTGCGAAGGAGCTCATGGAAACCTTTTGCATTGGTGAACTCGACACCTCTGCTATTCCTGAACTCGAAATCATCTCCAAGAAGCAGCGAAGAGATTATGCACAGAAGCTCGTAGAATTGACAAAGCAATACTGGGTTGTTCCTACCACGGTTGTCGGAGTCTCTGTTGTAGTTGGTTTCTTGTACTTGCGTAAGAAGTGATGATGCATATTGCACGCGGTAAAATTTTGCTCTGCTAAGCCGCTCCTGTCACAATTTTGAATAATGTTTACAAGGATAGTAACCAAAAGAACTGGCCCATATGTTAGGATTTCAAAAATTTGGGAAATTATTAGAAAGGTGGAAATCGATTTTTAAGATTTGATTTATGTGAGAATGATTGAATACAAACATATCTGAAAAGATGCAATTCAATAAAACTAGGAATTTGTTGCCTCTTTTGTGGTTTTTCCCTGCAGCATTTTACATGCAAAGAAAGAGCTCCTCTATCTCTCTGTTTAAAAAATATTTGACAATTTATACTACTTCTGGACGTCTCTCAAGTGCTTTACAAATATTTGACAATTTATACTACTTCTGGACGTCTGATTTTCCTTGCACCAAGATGCAGTAGTGAGGTAGCTCAATTTTGGTTAATATCTACCTTTTCCATTAGAGCATGTTTGCTATACAATATTCATATAGTACTATTTAAAAACAATAGGTTGTTTGACAGCATTTATATATTGCATAAATCGGAAAAATTTTATGTATTAGATCTTACTATTTAATTGAACTTACAACACTGTATATTTTGACATCTATTTTTTTAAAATTTACAATTTGACCCATTATTTAAAAAAAAATTATTGCAAAAAAGCCTCTGTTGAACAACTCCAACTTTTCCCTCACCTCAATCCCAATGTTAGGATTGGGATCGAGACTGAATCTAAACTAGGTTGAGATTAGGTCTAAATATATCTTTTTAAATTAATATGATACAATAACCAGACACTCTATTGTATAAAAATTATACGATATGGTACGATATAATAACAATAGTGAAAGAAAAAACTCGTCATTTTTCAAATTAAATTATGTGTGAATCTCGTGTCTCAAACTGTTAATTTAAAAATACTTGTTAGTTATCATACTTCAATTACTATTCATTTAAAAGTTCATTGTGTAAATTGCAAAAATTAAAAGCTCTGACGTATATTATACAGAAAAAAAATAGTCAACAGTGCAATTTACTTTGTTAAAAATAAAATAGATGGTAAACTTGCGAAAAATGTATGAAGTACGGGTTATGTTTATAAATAGTCGATAACTAGTTCTAATGGAAATTTCCCTTCAGTACATTATGTACAAACCAAACGATACGCAGTCTGATAGTCTCGTCTCAATCCGAAGCACAAAATAGAAGTAGAACAGAGAGAGAGAGAGAGAGAGGGAGGTGTAAAGCAACAATGGCGGGGCAGCAAGGTGTGCAGAAGAACACACTCTACGTCGGAGGACTAGCGGAAGAGGTGAACGAGTCGATTCTGCACGCGGCGTTCATACCATTCGGAGACATCAAAGACGTGAAGACGCCGCTGGACCAGGCCACCCAAAAGCACCGCTCCTTCGGCTTCGTCACCTTCCTCGAGCGCGAGGACGCCGCCACCGCCATGGACAACATGGACGGCGCCGAGCTCTACGGCCGCGTCCTCACCGTCAACTACGCCCTTCCTGAGCGCATCAAGGGTGGCGAGCAGGGTTGGGCAGCCCAGCCCAGTAAGCAAACCATCACTCACTCTCTTCTCTTTCCCTCTTATCAAATATCTTGCCTTTGCTTCGGCAATCGGATTATTAGCGTAATTGCCTTTGGTTATTTGATCCGCTTGCTAGTTGTAGTACTTAGGGATTGGGAATTAGCATAACGTTGATCTTTATTGTTTCTGAATTTTGGGTTTAGGGTTTTAACGCCTTTTGAAATTTTATTTTCTCTGAGATAAAAAATCAGTACATTCAGCTCCAGAAAATGTGCCAAAGATAATAGCTTCGGTATGCATTATTCTACAGAAGAACACCTTTTTTTTTTCCCCAGAAGAGTCCATTCTTTCAGGTTCAGGAAAAGGTTCCGAATCATAAATTAGCGTTATGAAGACCTTTTGTAACTTGTTTTACTGAGATAAGTGTCTATACTTTCAGGCTCAGAAAAATGTTCTTTTTACAATTAGCATTAGTTAGCATCTTATTTGTTTGTATAGTTAATATAATACTTGAAGACTGACGACAAATTGTTTATTCATGGATGTTAATGTGCGTGTTTTTTTATGTATTTTGATAGTTTGGGCGGATGCGGACACCTGGTTTGAGAGGCAGCAACAAGAGGAGGAAATGCAGCGTATGCAGGCGGAGAACCGAGCGGCGATGCAGGCAGCTGAGGAGTTGCACAGGAAGAAAATGGCTCAAGAGCGAGAAGGGGAGAAAGAAGACGAAGGAGATGATCCCATGGCCAGGGCTGAAGCAGAGATTTTGAAACAGAACAATGATAGCTAGCTAGGCTCACAGCCGTTTGACATTCTACGATTCCTTTGAACTGAATGGAAATTGTTTCGTGGTTAACTTCCTGCTTCACAGAGTGGATTGTCTATAATTCAAGTTTGAAGCAGTTTTAGTATATCCCTTGATCTTCTTTTTTGTCCCTTGATATTTCAGTAATAGAAACATGTTGAACTAAACAGGTGCTTGATGTAGATTGAAGATAAATAACTCTCATATGGCCAGATTTGAAATTGGCTTTCTATCATCTACTTTTATACTTTTGCTACACTATCTTGGTAAGTTTAATTTATTCTCCTTTTGGGGACTTAATCATGAAAAGACGCCGACTGATTGCTTTACATAGTAAAGAGAATTTGTGGATTGTTGAGAATGCTCAAAACACAGCCACTAGAATTGTAAAATAAAGTAATTTTGAATTTTGATGAAGCTCCCAAAGATTGAATTATAGACAAAGAGAACGTGTGGAGAGTTTGAGAACTTTTCTAACGAACAACGACATAGAGAATTCCTTCTGTAAATTGCACCAACTTTGATGGATACAAGGTGAAAAGATACACCCTCGTATAAAAGGCATCATAAGTTTGTTTTACACCACTTTATGTTTATTTCACGAACAAAAATGGGTACAGATTCTCCAAAAGAAGTAATGTTATTGCAAAAAATAAACTTGTTGCACAAAATGATACAGATTTTCATGAAGCACAACTTTGCAGTAAGAAAAAATTGCAGAGTTTGCCCAACTTCCTAAAATGATGCAATAGATCTCCTCCTCAACATTGCATCACATAGCATGACAGCATCTCGGTTCTCTCTCACGTTGTGTACTCTGACAATGTTGGCACCAGCCAAAACTCCGGCAGTGACAGATGCAACAGTAGCAGGATCTCTATCAACTGCAGCAGGGCGAGAACATATTTCGCCTAAAAACCTCTTTCTAGAAGGTCCTATAAGTAGAGGTGCATGAGACAAGGCCAAACTTTTGTCTGCAATCTCTGCCCGGATCTTCGGTAGCCCCGTAAGAATATCCAAATTCTGCTCAGTATTCTTTGAGAATCCAAACCCTGGGTCAATGATTATCCTCCAAGCTGGGACACCCGATAATTCGGCATCTCTCAGCCTAGAGTAAAGCTCAGTAGCAACCTGGTTACAAACATCATCGTATTCTAGGTTTTCACTATTCTGCATAGTTGATGGGTCTCCCCTCATGTGCATGGCAATATAAGGAACCTCAAGGTCAGCAACAACCCTAAGCATGTCGGAATCTAACTGCCCGGCAGACACATCATTTACGATATGAGCCCCTTTGCTGACTGCTTCTGAAGCAACTTCCGAGTAAAACGTGTCTACGGATACAAGTTTTCCCTCCATTTCAGGCATTTCAAGAATGGCTTCCAAAACTGGGTTCAGTCTGTCCAATTCTTCTTGGGGAGAAATCCTAGGAGCCATTGGACGTGTAGATTGTGCACCAATGTCGATCATATCTGCCCCTTCTGAAACCATCAAGCGAACTTGAGAGATCGCAGCCTCCACGGATTGAAACTTCCCTCCATCACTAAAACTATCTGGTGTCAGATTGAGGATGCCCATGATTGAGGTTTTCTGAGACCAGTTCCATAAGCCCTTATTAATGGGCAAAACTCTCCTCATACCTTTCTTTCCGATTATAGGGTCACCACCTAGTTTCTCCCATGATTCGAAAATCCCCATGGAGTGAGGGGAGAGAGAATGCCAGCTAGCAACTGTATCATTCTCAATAGCTATTCCCAGCAAATCCATCAGTGGCGCTATTACAAATGGTCTTTCCCAAATTCTTTCGTGTGGGATCGTAAGAACATCAGAATTGACCCTTAAGTTTCCATAGAACAATATATCCATGTCAATTGGCCTAGGACCGTACCTGATTCCCTTAGTACGACCCATGTCCTTTTCAATCTTCTTCAGTGCTCCCAATAACTCATGAGGTCCAAGTTTTGTGAAAGCTCTAACAGCAGAATTAAGAAACTGAGGCTGCTCAGTCACATAGGCCGGTGCCGTCTCATACAAACAACCATGTCTCGTAACATTTATGCCCGATCTTTTCATTTGCCGCAGGGCTTCATTGAAGTTATGCAATCTGTCACCCACATTGCTCCCCAAAGCAATCACTACTTCTTGCTCTGGAGAATGAACTTCCACCGAGGTGTCTGCTGATGAATGGAGAAAGGAAATAAAAGGAACTGCATTAAGATTAGAAAAAGGACTGTCAACAACCAACCTTGGGTAACTTTAATCTCTTCACAAAAGATACAATTTGCTACATTTTGTTTTAAGGACCTTCAATATCTGAAACAATAATGCTACCACTCCAATGGAATCTCATATCACTAAGGGTATGCCATTAAACAAGATATTTTCAAACCCTACTTAGTATACACTATACAACCTATCAAGTAAAGCTGAAGTATAAAACTTTCAAACTTTCAACATGTTTTGGAAACTGTCTAATTAGTCAAAAAAACATTTGGCATCATATGCTTTTACTGAAGGCAATTGAATAATAACAATCACGGATTCTACAGAATTAGTAAATTGTGTTTGATTTACCTTTATAATGCCTTGAAACACCGTTTAATCCCCGCTTGCTGGGCCTAAGCTGCTTGAATATGTTCATATCAGAAGCAGCTTATCATCAAAGTGAAGTTGAAGTTGATTTTCTTCTTCTTCCTATATGGAAAATGAAAACAACTTAATGTTCTTTCAACTTCAAAGTTCATACTGCTTAATTCATTTCTAGCACCAAAGAGGCCAAAACCCATTTCCCCAACTAAATCAAAGAAATGAAAAAAGGTTCAAATATGGTATAAAAGATACGAAAGCATAATACAGAGAAATTTTTTTATCAAACGAAAATCAGCAGCTTGTAACGCAAAAACTTTAATGAGGCAAAGAAGACTATATAGAATACAAATAATGCGAAAAAAAATAAATTCTTAGGGGGTTTTTTTTTTTTCCAAAAAAGAGTTTAGGTTCTTTAGAATTTAGGGGTGCATGGCTAGCGGTTTGAGCGTTTTTTTTTTTCCACTGTGATTTGTAAAAGGTCCAACCTATAACTGCACAATTTGAAAGGGCGGCTTGGGCAGTCCTTTGGTAGTTCGGGTTTTGTACCTAATTCTTTTATACATTATAAATAAAATTTTAAAATACTTAACATACATTATTTCCACCTTAAAAGAGCAGGTTGAAAACATAAAGATGCCAAAGAAACATCTGCAAAACTCATAATTTTAAAATACTTAATATACATTATTTCCACCGTAAAAGAGCAGGTTGAAAACATAAAGATGCCAAAGAAACATCTGCAAAACTCATAATCCAACATCCAAAGTCCAATAACATGCCAGATAAACATCAAAATTCCATTGTCCAATGTCCAAAGTTCAATCGCCACATTTAGCACAACAGTTTTAAACTATAAATCCCATAAGATCAACACAAAATCCAATCTTCAAGATTTCAAGTTCAAAAAGAAAGTAACCAACCAATTAAACACAACATCACATATTTTGGATGTATAAACAAAAGAAATAATTGAAAGAGGAAAACAATAAAAAACGGAAGCAGCTCAATTATTTCAGCCAAAATGAGAGAAAGCATAAATCTGCAGATAGCTCAAAGAAAGTGCAGATACAATATTACAACGCAAAATTCAGCCAAAAAAACGAAGGAACATTATTACAACACAAATTTCAGCCAAAAACAGGAAGGAACATTGATTCACAATAAAAAAAAGCTTCATAGGTTAGCAGCTCTTGCGGAACCCAATAAACATTCAAAGTATCAAAAACAAAAATCATACAAGCAACTCAAGAACTGAAGAAGAAGATATTCATTCAGTACCTGCTGAAATTCTTCTCTCTCGAGTCAAATGAGAATGAGAGACAGTGATGGGGAACCAAGAGACATAGCGTAACAACTTTTTACTTTTTATTTTATTTCTTTTATATTTTTCACGGGATGGCAGCGTAAGCTAGAACTAAAGAACCGGCAGGGAAGATCGTGCGACGGATTTAAAATTTTAATTTAAATTGAGATATAATATTTTTAAAAAAAAAATTTAACTAGAAAAAATTATATTTAATATTTTTTAAGCGTTTTTAATTATAAAAATTTAAAAATTAAAATTAAAATTGATGAAATAAATAAGACTTTAGTCTTTATTTTCTCCCTATGATCACATTCATTTTATTAATTTAAATTTTTAATTTTAATTTTATTATAATTAAAAATTTTTATAATAAAAAATTATATTTAATTTTTTTTATTATAATAAAAAACTCTTAAATAAAATTATATATTAACTCAAATTAAAAATTTAAATTAACTAACTCTCCTATACCTATATTTATTAATTCTTTACTCTCTTTGATTTCTCTGAAATATCTTTTCGTTTCCTCTGGAGAATTAAAAAAACCAACATCGACTCTTTATCTTTGTTCTCTTTTCTTAGACAATGGGTCTTTTACAAATCTAACTTGTATGTAAATATATATGTATATATATATTTTTATAAATCCGAAACTAGTCATTCCACCACCAGTTATGAAAAGAGAAAAGAAGAAAAGAGACCAGCATATGTGTGGTGATTAGGGTAGAGAAATGCAAATGCATTATGGTTCAAGAGCATATCTTCATTAAGCTTGGAGCTTCAGCAACAGAGACTCCTCCGCCACTAAAGGACTCTTCTGCAATTTTCTTCTTTAAATCCCAACCATGAGCCCTTTAACCTTGGATTCTATTGGATTAGGCTTAGACCCAAAGGTAAAAAATTAGCAAAACTCAAGGTCATAATTCAAGTATATAAAATTGTGTAGATTAAATTTAGTCAAGTGGCTAAATAGTGATCATGTAAAATGAATGGTCACAAATTAACCAATTCTTAATTATAAGTTTTTCGTGGCTATAGTTCATTCTTGAAATTTATATAAGGATGTTTGGAGGAAGGGTTTAAGCATCTCATTCTCACCCTTCAGAGAGAATTCTAATTTTTCGTGGTTATTCGTTCTTGGAGTTTATATTAGGGTGCTTGGAGGAAGGTTTAAGCATCTCATTCTTACCCTTCAGAGAGAATTCTCATAGTGAAAGAGAAATTTAGTTTCTCTAATTTTTTTTTTTTTCTTTATGAAGTGTTTCTCCTATTTATATGAAAGCGTAGTTCTTATTCCTCTCTTCGTGTAATTTAAAGAAAATGTTATAATCTCATTTTTCATAGTAAAATTATTCTACACTTAGCCTGTGATTTTTACCTCATCTCTTTGGGAGTTTTTCACGTAAAATATATGTGTCTATTTTATCTCATTTTTACTCATTTATCATTTTACCGATAGATTTGTCAATAGAATCCCCAAAATCAACTTTGATTTGATCTGACCCATTCAACATATCACCTGACCCATTCAACATATCACCTGGCAATGTGATGGGCTATTGTTTTTCTTTTGGATTATTCGTCTAATTCGCTGAAAATATGTCAAAACTTAAGGGTAGCTAGTGGTGGAACTTTGGGCCGGCGGGCAGGCCCATATGCCAGCCCGTCCAAAGTGGTATTTTGGGCTCGGGCTCCGGCAGCCCAAATTTGGGCACCTCATCGGAGCCCGCCGCTGTGTAGGCGCCGTCAACTGCGCGTTTGCCGGAGTTTTTTTTAAATTTTTCCGGCCAAGCCCGATTTGCCCGAATGCCCGACCCGCCCAACTGCCCAAAAATCCTAAAAAAGGGTCAAAATTCCGACCGTTGGTGCCCGACCCGAAAATAAGCCTGAAAACCCAAATTTTGCCCAAATGCCCGACATGCCCGAGCTGCCCGAATTGTCAGAATGCCCGAAAACCCGTCCAACGGCTAGTTCTTTTACCGTTGCCGCCCGAACCCAACCCGCCGATTCCTAAAGTAGCCGTTGCACCCTTAATTTTTTAAAAAAAATTCAATTTTAACCCAAAAATTTCCCTATAAATACCCCCACACATTTTTCTCACTCAAACTCTCTTAATCCCTCTCAATTTCTCTCAATCTCTCTCAATCTCTCAAATCTCTATCACAATTTTTCCAAAAAATATCACATTATCCTAAAGCTCTCTCTCTTAAATCGCTCTTATTTTTTTATAATGGATCCTTTTGGTTATAGTGGTATTCCCATTGATGCCCAACACAATGTGAAAGAAGGGCAATTTTCCACTAATGAATTTGTTACACAGGAATCTACTAATCTGAGCCCTGTTGGACATACTGGAGGTCATAGTCGGAATGGTGGTGGGCGTGGAGAAGCGGTGACGACGAGTGCCAGTGCGACTGCGTCTGCAAGTGTTGCAACCTCTAGGAAGAAATGCAAGCGCACCTTGACAGTTTGGGATCACTTCGACATAATTGAGGAGATCGACAATGATGGTAACACTAAACATATAGCTCAGTGTAAATATTATTTATCTAAATTACAATGTGACACTATTCACTGCACCACACACTTGAGAAGACACTCCGAAAAGTGTCTTCAAAAGCTTAGCCAATCCTAACTACTTGGAAATACGATCCACAAGTAGATCGTATAGAAGTTGCATGAATGATAGTTGTTTTAGATCAACCACTTAGTTTTGTAGAGCATCCTAATTGGCAAAGATATATTAAGGTTGTACATAATCCTAATGCACAGTTCACTTCAAAAACTACTCTTAGGAAAGATTTATTAAAATTATTTAAAAAAGAAAAAGAAGCATTAATAAACCTTTTACACTCGACTAGCGGGTGCGTTGCGTTAACGGCATATATTTGGTATGTCATTGCCAATAAAGATTATTTAGCTGTAACCGGACATTACTTTAAATGATTTGATTTAGATAAGAGAATATTAGGTTTTAAATGTGTTCTAGGATCACATAGTGTGGATTTAATATATAATATCATTTTGAATGTAATTGATGAATTTAGATTAAGAGATAAAGTAATAGCTATAACATTAGATAATACTAGTGCCAATACAAAAGCAATTGAGTTCTTTGAAAATGATTTAAGTTTATTCGGTGACGGTACAATTTTCCACCAACGTTGTGCATGTCACGTAATTAATTTAATTGTTAAATCTGGTTTAAAAGAAATAGGTAATCACATTAAAAGAATTAGATAGTCTTGTATGGATTCAAGGTAGTAACCAAAAATAAGAAGATTAGTTTAGGTTCTTAAAAGCATTAAATATACCTCTTAGAGCATTAGCGTTAGATATGCCTATAAGATGGAACTCAACTTACATAATGCTTCAACAATGCATCCCCTATAAGGATGCTATAACAAATTATATGTGTGCAAAAGTAGGAGTAAATCATATAGACGCATATGATTGGCAAATTACCGAAGTTTTGTATCAATTTTTAGGTAGGTTTCATAAAGTGACTCTAAAACTTAGTGGAACATATTATCCAACATCACCTTTAGCTTTAGATAAACTTTTACGAATTAGTATTTTATTTAGCGAATATAGGGAGGACCCAATCTTAGCAGCTCCTATCCATTCAATGGAAAAGAAATTTATAAAATATTGGTCTAAGTTGCCTTTGTTGTATGGTTTAGGTACTATTTTTTATCATAGATTAAAATTAGAAGGTTTAGTAAGTGGTTTAGATAACTTAGGTGAATTTTTAGGCATCAATTATTCGGAACAATATCCAATAATAAAGAAAAAAATATTTTCGATCTATAGTAAATGTGAGATTAGGTTTAGAGTACCTCCTAGAGTATAGGAACCACAACAACAAGACGAAAACCCACATTCATTCTTGAATGTTTTCGAGTTGAAGAAGAAGAAGAAGACAACTCAAACATAAGCTGGGAGTGAATCTTCGTCAACAAGTGGCAGTGGTAGCGACGGTGGCAGCTTCAACGAGCTTATGACGTACCTCAGTGAAGGCTTAGTAGTCGACGGTACGGCAGAATTGTTTGACTTAGTTCAATAGTGGAGGGCACGGGCATTAACCTAGCCAATCCTAACTCGATTGGCAATAAATATATTTTCGATCCCAGTCTCCACTATTTCATTCGAACAAGCCTTCAGTACGACAAGAAGAATACTTGAGGAACGCCAGAATACATTGCAAAGGGATATTGTTGAAGCCTTGGTTTACATTAAGGATTAGGATCGGGCCGATCAACGTCTACAAGATACAAGTTCGCCGGCAAGCCAAGAATGGATCGATGAATTTAATCAATTAACATTTAATTTTGAAGACGATCATTCAGCTTCAAATTAAATTGTAAATTTGTAATTTGTAAATATGTATTTACTTTTGACATTGTATTTGTAATTGTATAACTTTGTAAGTTTATAAAATTTGTAATTCGTCACAAAATGATTGCACTCTTTTTTTCTTGCCAAGTTTTTATCTCAATTGGGTTTCTCTTGGCAAGGTTTTTAACGAGGCAATCATGAATTATGAATTTAGTATACATCATTAATATACATGATTAATTTATTCAATTGTGTTAATAATATCTGTTGAATGTTGATTTTGATTTTTATATAATTTTAACACAAACTAACTTAATAATTATAAAAATTAAAAAATATTAAAAAAAATTCGGGCTATTCGGGCGGGCTCGGGCGGCCCGGCCGGGTTCAGACAGCCAAATATAAGCCCGTGGCCCGTTCAAGAGCATTTTCGGGCTCGGGCAGGGGGCCCAAATTTTTCGGGCGGGTCGGGCTCGGGCTCGGGTAAAAATTCAGTATTTTTGGACGGTCGCGGACGGCCTGTCCAAAGTTCCAGCACTAAGGGTAGCAATTCCTAGCTAGCAATTGGGACTTACGTTACCCAGATTTAGTGTTAGACGTTTTTATTCCTCAATTTGCTTTCCACGTTCTCGAGTTAAGAACCGTCTTTTTCCCTCTGTTCCCTCTTAAACGTCTTCATTCTACCTCTTATCAGAAAAAGGAAAAAAAAAAAGACATCTTGTTAGGAATCTCTAAGAATCCTTCTCTGGCATTCTCTAATTCAGCACCACTACAGTTAAAATCTTTAAGCAAAAAAAAAAAAAAAAAAGAAATCACTCCGTTGAGGCTTTAATCCGAAATATTTGGGGCTTATTCAGTTGTATTTTTGAGTTATAGTTTGAGTGTAGATTTTGAGTTGGATTTAAGTTATAATTTGAGCTAAAGTTATAACTTGAGTTTGTGTTTGGATGTGCACATTTGAGTTATGATTTGAATTGAGAATCTATTTGAGTTTGTATTTGGGTGGGTCAAAACTTGAATTTGTATTTAGATAGAATTTTAATAAAAACTCAATGGTGATAAAAAATTGTAATAGGGCATATGTGTGGGATTTTATTCTTCTTTTCGTTGTGAATGCATAGAGAAAAAAATCATCTCAATCGGAATTAAAACGAAAAAGTTATAACGTTTTTAAGAATAAAAAAATATTGTTCATTAACTTGACTTTGAGTTTAAGAACTTAAGGGCATGTTCTTTTGGAGTGTGACTTGAGTGTAGTTTTTGAGTTGAATATGAGTTATAACTTGAGTTGAAGTTGTAACTTGAGTTTGTATTTGGTTGTGTACATTTGAGTTATGGTTTGAGATAAGAATCTTTTTTTGAGTTTGTGTTTGAGTGAGTTAACTTAAATTTGTATTTATATAGTATTTTAATAAAAAACTCAATGGTAATGAAAAATTTTAATAGGGTATATGGGTGAGGTTTTATTTGTCTTTTCGTGTCAACACTTAGAAAAAAATCATCTCAATTAGGATTAAAACGAAAAAATTATAGCATTTTTAAAAAGAGAAAAAATATTATTCATTAATTTGAGTTCGAGTTTCTGAACTCGAGTTGAGGGGGACACTTGAACTCGAGTTTTAGTCTCAAACTCGAGTTTAAACTCGAGTTCAAACTCGAGTTCAAACTTAAAAAAACATGAACTTAAATAAAATTGGAACTCGAGTTGCCTTTTTTGAGTTTTTTAGGCAGCCAGCCGAACACACCCTAAGTCGAAGGGGAAACTTGAACTCAACTTTTAGCCTCAAACTCAAATTCAAACTCAAATTTTACAAACGAACATAAACTTGAATAAAGTTGTAACTTGAGTTTAAATATTTTTTTGAGTTTTACCCCAAAAGAACAAGCCATGAATTTTCACATTCTAATGTACTTGTTGTTGTGTGTGGTGACTATCTTCTTCATCCCAACAGCCAAGCAAGTAATGGGAGGTCGATCGCTTCTAGGAATACTGTCGATGTGGGCATCTTCCACAAGCCTTCTCCCTTTGGCTCTCTCAACGACTCCCCCGAGAGCCAGATAGCATTTTGCCTTCCAAAACTATGCTGGAAAGAATTTCACCTGTGTTCTGGTTTATAAGACGTACCACACCATCTATTCCTTCAACAACTAAAGTCGACCTATCATTTCGCATATGTTGCAAGGAATATATGACATTCGGGCTTTCTCGTTTGTCCCACAAAATTCTCATTGTCCTATAAGATGTAACAGAGAAAGTGGATTATGAATTCAAAGATAATGGCTTTACAAGAACTTATCAAAGCGTGTTTATAATATGACATATTATCTAGATGTTATAGTTGCAAGTTCACTCATGGCTGAAACAGATAATGGCACTAATGGCTGAAACAGATGCAGCTATGAATTCGGAAATCAGATTCATGGCATGATTATTAATCATTTATTTGATGTAGATGTTATAGTTGCAAGTTCACTCATTGACATGTATTCAAAGAACAAAAACATAGACTCTGCTCACAAGGTTTTCGATACATACACATTCTCAAAAATTACGTAGGAACATCGTTTAAAGAACAAAAACATCCTTATTCCTAAAAATTACTTCTTCCAAACATATATATATACAGACACACGCACATATATATACATACAAACACATACATAACTCCTTTTTTTTTCCTAACATACGTAATAGAACGTTCTCCAATTCAAAATGGAATTCATTCACTCTTTAATTCCAACCATTTCCTACCAAATTCATCCTCATTTACAACCGAATACAGAGTAGAGGGAAAAAAAAGTTTTCCTTCATAGTTTTTGAAACAATATTACACGAAAGATTCAAATGCTTAAATAACCATATCCATGAACTATAATCCAAATATGTGAATACCCATAAAATAGAGTTAGAATCCAGTCCAAACAAAGGGTTTATGTAGCAGAGAAAAAAAATTTTAAACAAAAAACCACCAAGCCAGAGAACACAACCAAATCAACATTAAAAAAAAAAAGCTTAATGGAGTACTCACATAGGCTATTGATCTGATGAGCTCCAACCAATACCGGTCTTAGCCAATGACGAAATCTGGAAACCTTAACGAGAATAAACCCACTAACACCGAGAGAACCGAGAGAGGGGAGAGACTCCGCCTGGCCGACAATCGCAAGAGAAACTAAGCCGGAAACGGAGAGAGGGAGTTTGAGAGAATAGAGAGAGAGAAGAAAGAGAAACGGAGGGAGAGAGCTTTGGTTGAGAAAGAGAGAGCACGAGAGGAGGCTTCAGTTCAAAAGAGGAGAGGTGGCGAAGGAGCAGAAAGAAATGAGGCTGAGGGAATTTTTTTGATTAAGTAGGGTTATTTTGAGAATAATGAAAATTTCATTAATGAACTCAATGTAGATTGCCGCACAATCTACAATCAGAAACAACCTTTAGGCTGCTTCTGATTTTTTTCCTAAATTCCTTCTAAATTATGTAAGAAGCACTTTTTGGAGTGTTTACCAAACACAATAAACAACTTTGGTTGAGTAGAAAATTGATTTTGGCCTCCCAAAATCTCTACCAAATTAAGCCATTGTTTGTTTAAAAAAAAAAAAAGTCTAAAGGTAACATGCAGGATTCTCTTAAAAATAATGAAGTACTATTTTTCATTTAAACTTGAATAATCTAGTACCATCATAATATTATCAAATAATAAAATTTTTTATAAACGAAATAAAAAAAGGGTAAATTGCATGAATGGTCCTCAAACTCTTTAAAAGATGATAGTTTGGTCCTCAAATTTTTTTTTAACGAAACAAACCCCAAATTATTTAAAAGGGTGCAATGTAGTCCTTTCCGTCAGATACAGTCTAAAAAGTAATGGCACAGTGCACGTAGATATCACGTGGCCTATGTTTTGGTTGGAAAGACGAAAATGCCCTTATGTTATTCAAATTTTTTTTAGAGAGAAAAAAATTGTCCATTCTTTGCTCTCGTCCTGTTAGGGTGTTGAATTTTCAACCTTTCCACCCCCACAAAAAAAGGGTTGATGATCTCCAGCACGTGGCTCCAAATCACTATCAGTGGCTTCGGTTTGTTCTTCGACCCCGGCGGCCTCCTTCCGCCACCGCTCCCGGATCCTCCTCTGCCGCCGCCACTTCTTCCTAGGTCAAGGCTCTCATCACCGTTGTGGGTGTTGTCGTCATTGCTGGGGTTGCTATTCGTCGAAGTTGTGTTGTTGTTGTTGTCGTTGTCTTCGTGAGTTGTTGAGTTTCTGAGTTGGAGAGAAGGAAGTGAGGAAATGGAATCCGCACCTCTCATGGCCACATTTCCGGCCCACCATCAGGAAGGTCAGTAATCGAAGAAGAAGAAGAAGAAGAAAAGGCTGCGAAAGCAAGAGCTTGTCGGGGACAAGGAGATCGAAGACGACGATGACATCTCTCCAACGATAGAGACGATACAGATAGGGGTCAAGGAGAGAGAGAGCGATAAAATGTGTCCCAAATGTCCCAACATGTGATTTTATACATATACCCGAAAAACATGGGCACGTGATCTCACGTGCATTATGCCGTTACTTTTTGGACGGCATCTGATAGAAATGACTATATTACACATTTTTAAGTAGTTTAGGATTCACTTCGTCAAAAAAAATTTAGAAATTAAAATGTCACTTTTTAAAAATTTAGAGACTATTCATGCAATTTATCAAAAAAAAGTACCAATCCGATAAAATTAGAAGAAAAAATAAGAAAATATCAAAAAGACATAAAAGTAAAAACCTCATAAATAAATAGATGACGTTTAATTTATGTATTTAAAATTATAATTTAAAATTATTTTTATTTTATATATATTTTTTATAAAAAAAATATTATAATGAATCGCGAACTTAATTTGAATTATGACACGAATCTCTTCTGATCATTATTAGTAGGTTTGAATCAAAATTTCACAAATTTTAATGTGAAAAAACACTTTAAAAGGACTGTTTGAACCGTGATTTAAACCCTTATATCAAATGAGTAGTTGATTCATAACTTTCGAGTTTAGAAGACGTTTAGTTCATGAATTAGAATCATGTGATTAGAACTATTTTTTATTTACGTGTATTTTTTGTGAGAAAAAAATACTGTAGCGAACCATGAACTATGATTCAAATCATGATTTTCGTTACAATGCATCTATTTTTTTTTTCCTTTTTGTATTTTATATATATTTTTTATAAAAAAATATATTATAAAAAATTATAAATAATGATTTAAAATCAATAACGAATATACGAAACGTGCGTCACTTCCGTTCCTCATCCTTAGTACTAGTAGAGTAGTGTGTCTCCCGCTACACAGTTCCCAAAGTCTTAAACCCAAACCAAAACGGCAAAACCCTCCATTGTTGTCAAACAAGAAGATTAGATTTTACATTTTCATTACACCTAAGAATTTGGACTTTGGAGAGTTATTGACTCAGCTGAAATCACTACCTCTATCTATGGCGTCTCTCTCTTTCACTCGCTTTCTTTCACTACCCAGGTTCTTCTCTCACTAATCCTTTATTTACTTGTTATTTCTTATTTTAAACAAAAAATAAATATTATTTCTTTGTTGAAATCCACTCTGTTGCTTTAACTTCTGCTCAAAGGAAATCGATTGAAAGAACCGGAATTTATGGATGGGTTTGGGATGAAATCTATAATAGAAATGACAAAAAAAAGGATAATTTTGGATAAACTTCTAAAACCCTGAAATGAAATTCGACTGTTAGGTCTTTAATGGAAGATGAAATAGTTAACTTTTTGTCTGACTAAAATACGCAGGTGCCAATCGAATTGGCGGTCGTATAATCCGCCGCAGAAGTTTGTTCAACTCGAGGGGTTTAGATTGCAGAATAGCAAATGGGCAATTGCAGCTAGAAAGAAACTTGCGGTGGATTCGGCCGGGGAGGCCTCCGATGGAGATGAGGTAGTAGTGAAGAAGAAGAAGAAGACGTCAAAGACTTCTAAGAGAACTAGGAAGAAAGCGGTGGTGGAAACGCCAGAGGAGAGTTCTGATTTGGAGGTAACTAGTGATGGGGAGAGTGTGGAAACTGCAGTTTCGGCGGCTGGCAAAGATACGAAGAGATCTCCGTGGAGGACTCGGAAGAAAGGTAGTATCTTAACTAGTTTTTATATTCCTACCGCGCATAATCCTTAACTAGAGGCTTTTGTATTAGAGAATGCCTATTGGTAGCGTGTTTCTAAACGTCAAATCAATGTTAAAATTATATCAGAATAAAAAAATGTGTAAATATGATGGAGTCTTATGAAACTTTGATTTTTTAGAAATATTCACTGTCAATATTATTTATTTGTTTTTGAGTTCATATCGCTCATAAGCCTTAATATATAGCACAGGGGGCTTCTATAAGTAGAGAATGCCTACCGGTAGCGTGATTCTGAATGTCAAATCACGGTTGATAAATCATATTGGAATAAACAATATGTAAATACGGTGGAGTCTGGTGAAACTTTGGTGGCTTAGCAATTCATTATCAATAGGGGTACTTTTTGTACCCTACTGTGGAATTCCCCTATGTCTCAATTGGTTAGCGCCAAATTTAAAAGCTTGTTTGTTATTGTCCAGCTTCATCTGCTGCTACTACTAGCTCGGATGAAGTGAAGACTGAGAAGAGGGTAAGGGGTAGGAGGAAGACCAAGCAGAAAGAGGCTACTGCCGAAGATTTGGTCAGTAAGAGTGAAGTGAGTGAGACTGAGGAGCCAACATATGCTGCAAATGCCGAGGAGGAGAGTGATGAAGAACTGAAAATAGATGAGGGAGAGGATATTAGCTTCACATATGGTTGGCCCCCTCTTGTTTGCTGTTTTGGAGCTGCACAACATGCTTTTGTACCATCCGGAAGGCTGGCTAATAGGCTAGTAGATTATGAAATACATGAAAGAATGAAAGATGCTTTATGGTCCCCCGAAAAATTTGTGAGGGCTCCAGGGGGTTCCGCAGGAAGTGTTGCAATTGCCCTTGCGAGCTTGGGCGGTAAAGTTGCTTTCATGGGAAAACTTGGGAGTGATGACTATGGTGAAGCCATGCTGTATTATATGAATGTCAACAGTGTTCGGACCAGATCAGTTCGCATTGACAGTAAAAAGGCGACAGCGGTATCATATATGAAAATTGGCAAAAGGGGCCGCTTAAAATTGACATGTGTCAAACCTTGTGCAGAAGATTCTTTATCAAAGTCTGAAATCAATATTGATGTTCTGAAGGAGGTAAAGGATTTCAGTCTCATTCTGAAAAGATATTGTTACTCATACACTTGGACTGTTGGTCTTTGTTTTCAGCTCATACGCTAATTTTTGTTAATTGGTTGATGTTCTGCATCTTTTATCCATGAGTCATGGTTAAACATTGAACTTGGAAGTTGGATCCATCTGAAAAAGGGTCTTTGATTGGATCACTCAAATTTTTATTATGTCTCTTTTATCCTTCAATTTGAAATAGAAAGGGTCTTTTTTTTATTATTTATTTATTGTTTCATGGGCTTCTGAAGACTGGAATATTATACTATGATCATTGCTTTTCTGATAGTTGCTTTTTGTTTAAAAATTTTTCAATTTTCCTTCACGTCATTCTGGATGACTTATTGATCAATTTAAAACTATGAAAAGTATATAGATTACTTTTTTTTCAAACCGCATTGTGGGTTCTGCATAAATTTTGGCTTTTGACAACCTATTATGCAGGCGAAGATCTTCTACTTCAGCACGCATTCTCTTCTTGACCCAAACATGAGATCAACTACATTGCAAGCCATCAAGATTTCAAAGAAACTAGGGGGAGTTATTTTCTATGACGTAAACCTTCCATTGCCACTGTGGCTCTCTAGTGAAGAAGCCAAAAGTTTCATACAACAAGTATGGAATCTTGCAGATATTATTGAAGTTACTAAGCAGGAACTTGAATTTCTCTGCGGAATCATGCCCTCGGAAGAATTTGACACCAAAAATAATGACAAGGTAAAATTTATCCATTATAAACCAGAAGTGGTTGAACCACTTTGGCACGAAAATCTCAAGGTATTGTTTGTGACAAATGGGACCTCTAAGATACACTACTACACTAGAGAGCACGATGGGGCTGTTCGTGGGATGGAAGATCCCCACCTTACTCCGTTTACTCGCGATATGTCAGCGTCTGGAGATGGAATCATTGCAGGTATTTTAAACTTTGAGCACAATCATTTTCTTCTCTTCAAGTTAAGAGTACTTTACCGGATCAGAAATCATGAAACACTTCTAGATTTGTTTTTCCTTTTGATGGTAGTTAATATATGCATGTAAAAGCTTTTAAGAGTACCAATCACTGCCTTTCACGAATGATGTACCAACAATGGGTTGGTGCAGTGGCAAGATGCCTGATTTTCTTCTATTCCCAGTATGTCCCTGTGTCAAAATCATGGTAGCCTCAATATAGAGGCCTTGCCTGACCAATGGGCTATGCAGCATTGGACCCATGGTGGTTTGTCTGAAACTGGGCTCATTCTTCAATTAGAATTAGGTCGGACCATTTCTGTTCTATTAGTGGGTCCTGAGATTTTGGGGATGGGGACAAAATGGTACCATTGATTCCCTTTAATTCAGGAAAAAAAAAATGATATGAAAATCTTTTAGGACCATAGTTACTATCTTCCACAACCAGAATGCTAATAATCTTTTGTGACGTGTTATTTTCAGCACTCCTGAGAATGTTAACTGTTCAGCCGCATCTAATAACTGACAAAGGCTACTTAGAGCACTCAATCAAGTATGCAATTGATTGTGGGGTCATAGACCAATGGGCGCTTGGAAGAGTGCGTGGCTTCCCTCCAAAAGATGATATGGAAGAAGTGGTTCCGGATGAAAATGGCATAAGGTCAATAACAGAAAAGGAATACCGCACAATAGTAGAGCCTGTCAGTTGATCCTGCTTGTAGCAATGACAAACATAATTTGTGCATTATATTCTCTATGGAGGCTCCAAAATTTTCCCCCTTGTAAAGTGAGTTCTTTTTTTATTTTTTTATTTTTCCCTCTTTTCTTTTTGACAACTGGGACGTGTACCTTTAGTTGTGAACCGCCAATTTTGTATTCCATTGATAGATCACAATCTCACTATTCTTTTAGAACTGCTCTGTGCCCTCCACCAAAAGGGATGTTTCAATTCTGCAACCTTTTATTCTAATTTGTGGAGTAATTTGCATTATCATGTACAACTCAGACAAAAGTTGACAGATTACTCTTCTTGACTTGTGGAGTAATTTGCATTATCATGTACAACTTAGACAAAAGTTGACAGATTACTCTTCTTGACACACACACACACACACACGAAAATACTAACTTGGGTGACAAGGATACATGTGGTTCTTGTCAATCAAAGTGCCTATTTAATTATGGCTGGAACATTGTGTACGACAACATATCTAATCTTTGATAGAGAGATACAATAATTTATGTACATTAAAAAAACAATGTAAATCCCACACCCTCTAGAGTCCTTATCTTGGAAAGGATTGGAAATATTACGTTGCTTTCATCGATTAATTTAGGATGGTTCAGAGTAGGTGAAGAAACTATTTCTTTTATTTATTTATTTTTTAAATTTTGGAGTATGGTACGATGTCAAATTACCTATAGTTGGACAACATTTGTTATTTATTCATTTTTCAAATCAGGTAAAGTGGTACAAGACCACTTGGGCATCACATTCAAGAAGTGATAACTATAGGTTGAACAGCCTCCTAACTTACTTTTTTCACTTTGTTTCCCACATGCAGCTAATAATTGCCCAAGACAACATATGGCCTCCCAAGCTTTAATTAATATAGCCAAAATCATCTCCTTATCTGTTTCCCATAACTCAAAAGTCAATATATATATATATATATATATATATATATATAAAGCAGCAAATTATACAGCATTATCTGATCTGTTACAATTTATAACTAACAATGCTCAGAAGCTTTGTATTGTTGTCATATTATCAAGTGCTGCCTTGTGTAAGAGATTTATCTTAAGCCTAAAGGAGACGAGCTTTTCTCTTGAGGCCCCAGTTTTATTAAACTTTAGTTAACAAAAAGGATGATTACACTTCTCGAACCCCATAGAGAAAATGGAAGAAAGAAGAAAATAAGACCAAGGCAAAATGGGGAATTTTACCCAAAGGCAAAAGAAAAACAAAATAAGGGATCGAATGGAAGAGAAAAATGAAGCACAAGCGTCGAATCCCTCCACTAAATACAAACACACATTTGGTAATGAAGAGATCGACCCTAATCAGAAAATTGAAAACCATCAAGTTTTGAGGCAGCAGGTTTGTCTAAAAACCACACCAACTTCCCTTTTGTTGGCTGGACTATCCTCGCAGGCACCAATGGACAATCGGGTCCAACATCATCGATCGCCAAGTGTACAGCATCCGCTTTGCTGTCTCCAGTCACGACCACCGCCACGTTGGAAGCGGAGTTGATGACAGGCAAAGTGAAAGTGATCCTCTCAGGGGGTGGTTTGGGGGAGTCAGTAATGAAAGTCACCCATTCATTTTTCTCATCGAGTACCGGGTGGTTGGGAAAAAGAGAAGCAATATGGCCATCCGAGCCCATACCAAGAAGGATGAGGTCAAACTTGGGGCAGTCGCTTATGTCGGACACGCTGATTACACGAGATTTCACCAACTGCCGAATAGCAAACTCATACTCATTGGCAGCCTCCTCTGCTGACACCGAGTCATTGATAGAATGCACATGACTATGAACAATTGGTACCTGCATAACGAAAACAGCAGTTGAGATTATAGAGGGCTGGTGAACATAAGTGAAAAATAGAAGGCAATACTATATATATGCATAGCTAGAAATCAAGTGAACTATAAATGGCTATCTTGGTTGGAATCTTCACTTCTAGTAGATAAAACATTTATGCAGGGTGAACAAAGCCAATGAACATAGTGCTTGGAAACGACAAATAGTGTAAAATCTGGTATATCAGGTACATGGGGATAGACGAGTTGTGTCAGCTCTGTTATACTCAACTCAATACCTTGAAAACCTCTTAGATTGTAACAGTATCATGCATCTTTAAAGAAAGAAGAACAAAAGAAAAAAAGTCATTGGTTGTTTTTGCCATGTTGCAGTTTCCATATTAGTTAAACTGCTCCAATTCAAAAAGTTTAAAGAGACTAATCTGCCTTTTCTAAGTTCAAATACACAATGAGCACAAATTTTAATTTCCACATTCATTCTCTTATCTGCTAGCTTATTTAGTTTTGGCATGCTGCTCCTCTACTGAATTATGTAAATTTGTTGGCAAAGCTCAAAAGTCAAGGGTGAAACTTTACAATACGTAACAATCAAAGTTTAAAAAAAAAAAAAAAAAAAAAAAAAAAAAAAAACAAAAAAAAAAAAATTTAAAAAAAAAAAAAAAAAAAAAAAAAAAGAAAAAAAGAAAGTAATATGGAGCCTGCTTGTTATTTACACTCCAAAAATGCTTAAGAATCCATGCTCTACATTTAAGTAGTTTCACATCAACCGAATAAAAAGCCTAATATCCACATATCAAAAAACGGCAATGGTGTACTATAGTTTATTCATTTCAGGAGATTTACACCCAACAATTTTACTGCTTTTGGAATTAACTGGTCTTATCATCTTCCCATCAAAATGGTTCAATCTTGTGCAACATGGAGTATTATGGAGATTACGAGCTCCAACGACGCAGATTCGAGAATGTAAGAAGAAAGGCCAGAAAAAATATGCCTCTTGTAGGTGATAGCCCCAGATGGAGCAAAAAGGTGAAAGAGAAATGTGCAGCCAACACAAAGTAAACAAACGACAATGGAACTTGTTAAGGACGGGTAAGAAACAACAAGAATGGAAGACCAACCACCATTCCAAGAGGGCAAAAAGGCATTTACGTTTAAGAAAACATTTTCTCCAAAGGGAAGGAGTACTGAAGTACCTATAAGGTAGCTTTACAAAAACTTGAATGCCTATTTAAGTAACATGGTTTTGGAAGAGATTTGGCACTAGTTATATTTCATGTTAGTTACTCTCTTGAGTAAATTTTAAAATTTGAATAAGGGATCTGAACAAATTTGAGCTGGATTTGACATTACACCACCACATCCCCACATGCAACACCTAAATCTACTAATTCTATATGTAAAGAGATCCTCATCTTCTTCCCTCATGTAAAGAAAAATGCATGAAATGCTCAAAAAGAATAAATAAGAAAAAACCAAAAAGTGGGACAAACCTTGGAGAATAGACCATCCTTGGCAAGCTTATAATTGCTATCGGCATGGTTTTTGGCCACAACACGCTCATCCGCCCAGAAAATGTACCATTTTGCCCAGTCTACAGTCTTGTTATAAGGAGCTTCACAGAGTTTTCTGTTTTCCACCACAAATTTAAACCAAAAAAAAAAAAAAGGAGACCAAAATCATAAAACAAAATAAACCAAACTTTGGTAAAAGGAAGGGCATTTGAATGATACCCCATTAAGCCAATGAGAGAACCACCAGATATGGCAAGAGCAAAGACACCTCTCTCCTTCACTGAAGTCTCTGATAGTTCAGCTATATAGTCTGCCAAATCAGTTCCAAGCTCATCCAAGCTTTCATGAATTCTCAACTCCTTATCTTTATCACCCCCCAAAACAGACATGCTTCCCACAATTTTACCACTGTTACTTGGAAAAAAAACAAAAAAAAGAAAAAAGAATTGAATATCATTTTCATAGGAAAAAAATGTAAAACAGAAAAACTATTGTTAGCAATAGCAGGGAATTTGTCAAAAGGAAAAGGAAAATAACATGACATGGAATGGCATTGAATGATAATAGGAAACAAAAAAATCTGCATAAATTATAGTCTATATCAGGATTAAATTATTAAAAATTGCAATTTTCAGATTGTTGAAACGAAATCAAGACTTCATCAAAGTCGCTTTTTGTCTTAATTCGCAACAAAAGAGGAGGATGATCATACTTTAGAGATCATCAACATGAAACAACCCCAAATGAATTTGCCATGGCAAAACAAGATAAACCCAGATCGTGAAACAATCTAAATTCTCATTTCATTAGAGAGAGAAACTTACAAAGTCGAAAAAAAAAAAAATATATATATATATATGTATATATATGTAAAACAGAAACAATCTCATGCAGTATAAAACATTGAAAGTGCTTACACTAGCAAAACAACCAAACTGACAAAAAAAAAAAAAAGAAGGGATACTTACAAAAACGAAGGAAGAGAGGAAAATGAGGAGAGAGTGGCAGAGAGAGATAAAAGTAAGAAACTGACGAAGATGGAAGGTGGGTATCAACACGAAATTGGTAAGTAGTATATATAATAATATCATATACAACTCTAATCCATTTAAGGACTAATATATCCATATGTGTGTGTGTTTGTGTTTGTATGTATATATTATTTTTATATCTAAACTTCACTAGAAGTTGAGAAGGAATTACCTTCTCGGCTTCCACGTGCATCCAATGATCGTGACAAAACACACACACAAACACAAAGCGCATCTCTCTCTCTCTCCAAAGTAAACGGATAAAATTAAATACAGAAACCAAAATTAATTAAGATAAAATAAAACCCATTTCTCTTTTATTTGTCTATTACAGATGATCTGGATCAGCAAATTCCTCTACTCAATAAGTCCTAGGTCCTCTGCTACAACATGTCTTAAAGAGAGGAAACATAAGGTACAAGCAATAAATAACAACAGATTTAGCTTTAAGTCTTGAGTTGAAATTTGCCAAATAAGACAAACATCACATAAATTCTAACTGATGACTAAAACTGTTGGTGTTTTTTTTTTTTTTTTTTGGAAAACACAAAGTACCCAAAAAAAAAAATGAAGAAGTCCTCAGGACCAGCCAAACGCCTGTCCAAATTTACTGCTGACAATTGTGCTGTGGTAGCTTTTTGTCTTGCAAGATCAGAACATAAATTTAATTAATTGTCTCTCATTATTTTAGTGGGATTTTATTTTCTAAGTAGTTTATAATAAACACATTATATATAGGCTTTATGGTCAAATTGTATATATAGTTGTTTTCTTTTTTGATAAGCAGCACATTAAAATCTTGATGTTTTCTTTTCCCTTAACTTGCTTTTAATTTTCTTTTTTGCTTGTCTCCCCCAAACCAGCTACTTTATACCTTTTATATGTTTCTTAATGTGTATTGTGTGTCTTACACTTTACCCCATCTCACCTTCTTCATCCCGCTCCCACACATTCTATCCACTGAGAGAGGTTGTACCATATATGCCTTGTATATATGTGTACTCAAAGACACCCCCAAAAAACAAAACAAAAATGTTAGATATGGTGATCATTATTGATTTTTTAATTATTTAAAAATTTTCATGTAAAATTAAATAAATCTTGATTTAAGTGTTTGAGTATAAAATTATTTACAACTAATAGTGATACGCAGTATATGTTATTGAAAAGTTTGAATAATGTATTGTTTGTCTAGACACCTTATGGCAAACTTAGAGTAAGGAGAGAAACTAAATTCAATGATACCAAAAAATAAAAAAAAATAAACAAATATGAGAATGGCGCTCAGATCCAAGCTCATTACACTAAAACTTTTTAGTATTTAAGTTGAGATTTTCTTTTTCTTTTTCTTTTTTTTCTCTTTTGATAATGAGAAGATAATACTCAAAATATCTTTGTGTTTTATCAAAATACTACCGTCATCTCTCTTGTTATATAAATTTCCAAAATACTCTCTGTTCATAAAAGCATACCCCAAAGCACCACCTGATCAGTGTAATTTTTTAAAAATGTCATGATTACCGTTTCCAATTTATATTAAATGTTATTTTATATATGATTTAACTAAAAATTTAAATAAAAACTTTTAAAAATGTTTAAATAAATATTCCAATCAAATAAATACTTCAATTATCTTGATAATTTTTCATTTTTTAAGATAGATTTTATTATTTAATATTTTGGTTTAATAATATTTTAAATTGTATTTATTAAAGATTAGAAATGGTAATTTTGGTATTTTAAAAAATTTAGTTACTTTAAAAGTGTTTTGGGTTTATTTTTATAAACACATGAATGTTTTAGGTATTTACATAACAAAAAAAAAAGTAATAGTAATATTTTGAGATAATATAAGTGGTATTTTGAGCATTATCCTTTAATAGTCAAGTAGAGAAATTCAAATGCTACTTACATAAAAAGTATCCATCATAACTAGGCGATTGGCATATGGCTCCATTTTTGTCCCCGGGGTCCATGATGAGATGTTGATCAAGGATCAGGACAAGTGTCATTAGCACTATCTATTTATTTTTGCAAATTTTTTCCTTTTATTAATTGAGTTACATGTGAATACAATTAAAAAATAACTTTTAAATTTAATTTCGGATCAAAACATATAACCTCTTTAAAAGTCACGTTCATTAACTGGAGCAAATGAAAAAAAATATTTAAAATAATAACATCAAAAAGAGTTAAAGTTATATATAAATTTTTAATTAAAAAACTTAAACGTGGACATAATTGAGACGATTTATTTAAAAAAGTGTCAAATAAAAATTAAAAAAATAAGAAAAGAAAAAGAAGAGAGGAGGTGCTGCCATCGTGCCACGTGGTAGTATGGGAGAAAAGAGTTATCGCCATTTTTAAATATATTTTTCCTGAAATTTTTAGATATGTTTTTCATAAATTTATTTCAAAGGATTTTTCGATTGAATTGAGAACTACATGTTCTTTTGTCTAAAAAACTCAAAAAAAACAACTCAAGTTTTAATTTTATTCAAGTTCACGTTCTTTTAAGTTTTAACTTTATTTAATTTTACTCAACTTTATTCAAGTTCTAACTTCAACTCAAGTTATAATTCAAATTCAACTCAAAAACTACACTCAAGTTACACTCCAAAAGAACAACCTTTTGTTTTTTTTATTTGTTCCCCACTTTCTAGCTTTAACCAAGACAAAGCTGCTTGTTTTTCTTTCGAGTAAGACCATGATACATATTTTTCGTTTTCAGGTGTTAAATAATGTTTATACCCATTGAAATATTAAAATTTTTATAAGTTAGTAATTAGCGGAAAAAGAATAAGTGCGACTTAAATAATTTATTTCATATCAAATGGTTGAAAAAATAAATGAAAGTATTACAGTCTTATTTACTTTATAAATTTAAATTTTTAATTTAAATTAAGATATGATATATTTTAAAATTTTTTAATTATAATAAAAAAATTTAATATGTTATTTTTTAAAAATTTTTAATTATAAAATTAATTAAAATTTTAAATTAATAAAATGAATGAGACGTGAAAAACATAAATTGTTATCTTTGTAACTATTCCTTAATTATAAAAAGCAAAACTTTATGTCACTTTTCATATACAGCGTTTGCACTGAAGATATCATTGTCAGCCATCATTTTCTTTAGTTTTCCGATCCAACCTCCACCACCACATATTAGAAAAATAATATCACTTGTGTTTAGAGAAAAGATTCATATTATAATTTAAATCATAATTCATAATTTATTATAATATTTTTTTTTTATAAAAAATATACATAAATTAAGAATAATTTTGAACTCATGAACATCTACTTTTTAAAACGTTGATGCAGCGCGTGTTTATTGCATTGTGATAGATCAGACAACAATGTTGTTTGTGTTGCCATGGGCACTGCAATGCCCCAAACAGGCGCTGCAGCGCCTGATCGAGTGAGCCTGCGCTCTGTAGCGCCTTTCTTGCTGCTGCCACTGTCCTACTGGTCATGGTAAACCCGATGCAATGGGTTTTTCATCCGTTGTAGCGGGTATTCTGTAAAAACTGTGCATATGTGTGTGATTTGTGATTTGAAACGTTACGAACTATTGCATCTATTGATAATATGATTTCAAACATATATGAACACTTATTAACAACAAATATAATTATTATAATATATGCATTAATCCATAAAGAAATACATTTACATTAAAAATGTACTTTTATGTGAATGATTGTGATATTTAAAGAGGATGTATTTATTCATAAAATGATATCTTTATCTTTATTAATTTTTTAAAAAATTTACAGACTTAATTTATATTGTGAAATACAATATTATTACTAGATATTATGTTAAAAAATTTATTGTATCTTAAAAATAATTTACCATTAAAACTCATAACAACCTTTAAAAAGTAATGACAAATAAAAAAATATATTTATATACGTTTCAAACTCTTTTATTTTTACAAACTGATGGGGTCTTGGCATTGTTAACTACTTTTGGTGAAAAAAACCGTAAAGGAAGGAGCCATGGACCATGGCCTGTGCCTTTGCTGACGTCTCCTATTTCCACCTTTTTCATTTCTCAAGTTTGACAAGAAACAAACACCTCTTGTTATGCTCTTGAATCCCACTTCCTTATTGAACTAGTTCTTGAGAGCAACTTCTCAACTTTTCACTGTTATAATAGCATTTGGTGGGAGAGGCAATACATATACACATACATAATAATATATATATATATATTATTTAATAACCAAACTATTTCATTTCCATTTTCGTATGAATCGAACTATGAGAGGAGAAAATAAGAATGAGATGATAAAAGGACTTTGAAGATTTGGAAAGATGCTCTTCTACCACCAAGTCTAGTGGCTCAATTGGTAAAAGTATTATCATGGTTGGGTCTTCGGCTAAAAGTTCAAGTGTTAAGTAATCTTTCTTAAAAATCTTATTTGTAAAAACTTGCTCCTTTTAATCTAATACTCGATTTAGTGTGCCTAAGATTATACCCCCACATATCTTGATTGTTAACACATTCAGTGGGCAGAGGTTTTCCTTCTGATTTTTTATTTCAGCCAAAAAAACAAAAAACCAAAGAAATCATATTTGCAGTGCAGCTGAATTCTTAATCATAGTCTTTTAGACAACAAAACTAGACCTTCTCAGAAAGCAACACATTGTTGACTTGCAAGCAATAACCCAACATAAAACTTTAAGTGATGTACTTTTGAACTCCTAAAGATCTCATCGACCATTTTTCTGATTTCTATTGATTGGAGTAATGGAAATATTTGTCTTGTAGTCACATGCGTATACAGTTACTACAAGCCATCTATTACGTACTACAGTGGAGCTAAGTCACATATTGATCTTTAGTGGTCCTAATTTATGTTTTGGATGGTGCACTTCTTCAAGAACTAAAAATCATAAATTTATGTTGGGGTTGGAAGTTTTCTTCCACTACATACAAAACCCACTAAAGATTAAATAGTACATAGTCAAATAGGCTAAGAGAAATACTAATGCAATCTAATATCAAAATGGCTGATAATGAAAGAATTTATAATCTCCCACTCAAGAATTCTTTTGTGGGA